TCCCCCCCCCCAAAGCATGTTACATTTTATATTTAAAATGCAATGACTAGTTCTTAGGTTTAAAGTCTTTTAGTGTACTTGTGTTTTATTCTTGAAAAAATGTCTATAAGCATCTCTTCTAAGAGATCGACACTATAATTTAGTGGTGGTGGTTTTTTCCCCACCATTCATTTCAGTAGATCAGCCTTGCGTGCAGCTAGGAAGAGTGCTTTGTTTTTACAGCATTTGGCTCTTTTCCTTTTATCCTTTGCAGAGTAATACTTTTTTACTGTACTTACGGAAATAGAAAAACAAATTCAGTTCCAATGTAATGTATATTTCCACTCTAAACTTGCTAGACAGTATTTTCAGCTAGAATACCTATTAATGCTAAAATTTAAAATGAATAAATGGTACATTACTTTGCTTTTGTGAGGTGCAGCGTTCAAACCATTAGATGTTCATGATTATTCTTTGTATCTTTTGTTTGCAGGTCTTTAAGCTCACTTCGAACAGCCATGTCACTTTGTTGCCAAAACCATATGAAGCAAATGTGCACCTTCATCCTGCTGTACTTAAAGAAGGTGGTAGCTCCATACAGTGCCTGAAGGTAATTGTTCTGTTTAATTTGGCAGCTTTTTCTAAGTTATCTATATTTCATTGTATTTTTGAGCTTGATCTTAGGGGGTGGGGGAAAAGTCTTTTCTCATTTGGGGAAATGAAAGAATGCTATCTGAAGGTGAAAATCAACTTGCTATAGAGGGGGAGCATAAAGTCTTTAACCTAGTTACCCAGTAAGTACTGCTTAAATCTAAAAAATAGAGCGTATGGCAGGGGTAGGCAACCCCTGGAACACGTGCCGAGTATGGCACGCGAGGCCATTTTCCTTGGTATGTGTTGGGTCGGGCCAGGGAGGCAACAGCTGTTTGCAGCCTCCCGGCTGGAGCCGGCCCAAGTTCTGGGTAGCTGCTGATAGCCATGGAGCCTGGGCTGCTCCTAGCAGCCAGCTGGGAGGATAGCAGCTCTGCTGCAAGTAGCCTGAGCTCTGTGGCTATCAGCAGCTACTCAGAACCTGGGGCGGCTGCATCTGGGAGGCTGCAAACAGCTGCTGCCTCAGACCTGGCACCGGGCTCCGGGGAAGCAGCAGATACTGGTGATGTTCCCTACTGTGTTGCCCTCGCTGCTACAACTGCAGAGCAGCATGTGGAACCCAGCGGGGGGCGCAGAAAGCTGCTTGCTGCTCTGAGCTCCCCACTTGCCTGGCCACAGTTCCCCTGCAGGTGGGGACAGCAGCAAGGGGCACAACCCTGTGTGCTGCCTACACTGCTCCTGTGTGACCTGGGCAGCGCGGAGCATGCAGCAGCAGGCAGCTTCCATGTGCAGCCCGTCTGTGCGCTGCTGCTCTGGATCACACACGCTGCACTCTGGAGGCCAACAGGTCCAGGAGTGTTTAAATCTATATTTTGTCTAAATAATGATTGTCTTAAGTAAAACAACTTATGGTAATAATTTTTTATGAACACTGGTTTACAATTATCTTCTTTCTGAAGAGTAGAAATTATAAGAGTTCTTGCCAGTCCAGTATTCTGTCATTTGTCTCTTTGCAGCACTTTTTGTTGCGAGCTGTAGTTCTACATGTGCAAGTCACTGATAGTCAATGTAGCTACTATTGAAATAAATTTGGTGAAATTGAGGAGAGATTTCGGCTCATTGCATACAAAATAGCTTTCAGTTTAAAAGCAATGTCAGAAGTTCTGAAACCTGTAGGTAGAAAATAGAGATGGGTAGAAGCTTAGAATTCCTTCTAATTGGGAGTGCACAAACAGGCTTTTGCAGCCAATACCAACAACCAATTTTTATGAAGGAGCATTGGCCGATACTGATCCAATTTCCAATACCAGCCTGGCAGTGTGGAGAGCTGCCTCCAGCTGGTAAGTCTGGTGTGGTGGAAGGGGAGGGGAAGCGGGGTATGCAGATCAAGGCCTCCACTGAGAAGGAGGTGTGGGGCTGGGGCAGGAGCTGTCCAGGTGGGGTGGGTGCAGGATGGAGTGGTGGCTCATCTGGGGTGCGTGGAGATGGCCACGATGGGGCGGTAAATGGCTCCTGCTGCTGCACGCACTCCACCAGAAGCCGCTGGTCCAGTGCTTGTCTGGTAGCTCCTGCTGCTCATCTGACAGGGCATGGGGGGTGGGGGCGTGTGCGCCCCCAGATATACATGGGCAGGCTGAGGCCGGGGCTGTACCAGGCTCTTCCCGGAGGGGTGGGGCTGCGCTGAGAGGGGCCTATGGTGAGTTTGTGGCTGCAGCCGCCCCTCTCCCCTCTCGTAATCCCCTCCCAGTGCAGCGCCGCCTTGCTGTGAGGAGCTTGGCGCAGCCCTGACCCCAGCCCATCCCACGCGGATCCAGGGAAACACACCCAACCCCACTGCCCTCCCAGACGAGCAATGGGAGCTGCTGGATGAGAAGGCATGTGCTGGACGAGGCGCCAGACCAGCGGCTCCTGGCAGAGCAGCCCCTCCCCTTCCCTCCCCTTCCACCACACCAGACTTACCAGCTGGAGGCAGCTCTCCACACTGCCAGACTGTGCTCCTTGCCACCTGTGCTGCGGCAGAGTGCATGCATGCGCCATTTATTGGCCAAATTATCGGCCTGCTATGGCTGTTTTCCAAGATATTATATTTTCTTTATAATGGTGCTGATTCAATATCAGACCAGTGTGTCGGTGCACCTCTATTAATGTACTTTGAAGGGATTGGTAGGGGGCGTAACTCCAGAATTTTTGAAGGGGGAGTATTTTCTGAACTTTTCAAGGGACAGTCTTTTTTAGTTGCCACTTTTTCTCTATCCTTTACTGCTTGCTAGTTGATGTCCCTTACTGCCTTTTTTTTATTTGAATTTACCACCTGCTTATTTTTAGTTTTGTTTTTTTTTCTTTTTACAAAGGAAAATGTATACTAAAAATATTTAAACTTTTTTGTTTTGAAGCTCATAACAGATGTATTAGAGTGGTTATTCCCAGTTCTCTTCTCATGGAGAGTTATTTGTCCAGCATCATCCAGCAAGGCAGTGACGAATGCTAAATTTTGAGCCCAGATCTCCTGAGTCTCAGCCCAGTGTCCTTTCTACTTGATCACATTTCATTGTGGGGTATTATGGAATACAGTGTGCCCTTGACTTGTCTTGAAGTGCACCTAGAGAGACTTGAGAGAGTTAAGAAATATGGAGTTAAAAATTAACCAGGCCTTTTCTATGCTTGTGCTTCCATCTCTGCTGTTGGGAAATTATGAATTTTGGTAGTTACTGATAGACAAGACTCTTTTTAAAGGCTTTATCAGGACTTGTAGAACATTAGCAAAGGCCTTATGCAGTGACAGATCTAGCGAGGACAACATCTGGTGAGAAAAGTCCTTAGATCTTAGTTACGGCATACAATTTATTGAACATAAAAGTACTAGTTCATAATGCATGTGGAATAGTACGTTGATGCCTTTTGGCTCAAAGGATCTCCATTTTTCTTTTCTTCCCCCCTTTCACATCTGCGGGGGGTGGGGAGGCCCACCCACAGACACCCCAGCATCAGCCGTTTGTCTTTGGGTAGGAGAGTAAACATGATCAGACCTTGAAGTGAGAAGTTAGAGACCTGTTTCTATTTTGAGCTGCATTTAGTCATCCAAAGTTTAGACAAGGAGGTGGAGATGCCACCAGAGATTGGCAAGCAAAGTGTGACAATTTAACAGTCCAGGAGAAGAGCAGAGTTTTTTTATGAAGAAAAAAGATGCCAGTTGTATGAGATCATGCTGGAAGGGAGATGTAGAAGGAAGTTGCAAGCATTTGTCTGCTAATGCACTATAAGCCTACTCCCAAACAAGACTGGGAACTGTAGTCCTAATTTTAAACTAGATTTTTGGATCAAATTAATTCCAATAGCCAAAAGTTGGAATAAGTTAAGGTCCAGATCTGTTCTTTGCTAAAGAATGTATGTGCTTTAAAGTATCTTGTAGATGATCCAAAACAGAACAAAGCCCTAAGCCCTTAAGGGCTTAATGCATGTTCCTTGAAAAATAGACACTATGTTACATATTCGTGTATCTCACTAGGTAGTGGGGCTGTTTGGCCCCAGTTCTGCCATACTATAAGGGTAGGGAGTGGAATAACCAACTTGGAATGCTTTTGGTACATTGTCAGGTAGGATATCCTAGATCTAAAGAGTTGGTCTTTGTGTGGTAACTACTCTTTCCCTAAAAAGGCATAATGTCTATAAATAATGTAGTGTGCATGTATAGAACTAATACTTGGATATCTTTTCAGCTTCTGAATGGTACTTGCAAAGGGGAACGTGTAAGCTCCAGGAAGCTTAAAAAAATAAAAATAAAAATCACCATGAAGCTATATGTATTTCTTGTCAACACTGGAACAACCCTTACATTTGACACCGAACTTGCTGTACAGAAGTAAGAAACCTTTTTTTCTCCTCTTAAAAAAAACATGTATGTGTATGCTTGACAGATTTATACTCCTTTTCTTTTTGAGTAAGCAACTCTGTGTCTCCCTCTAGCACTCATGCGTACAAAACTGAGTTTTTTTGACTAGCAGAATCTATATGCACTATTTACGTGGCTATGGGTGTGCCTCTGCTCTATATTGAGAACATAAGTAGTGGAGTGGCTGTGATCTTTCTCAGTTACTTGTTCTTGACCATGGCTGCAAGACAATATCATTAGTATGCGGTTTGGTTTCAAAATAAAACTGAAAATCTGCAGGCTTCAATCCCTACCCATCTTGCAGTAGACTAATATCCATTAAAATGGGCATAGTTGGTGCCTTTTCTGTGTGGGAGAAACCCACATTCTGAGCAGCTGTGCTGTATTTTTATCTTTTTCCATGAGCACTTGCAAGTTATGAGATGCAAAGATGAAGCTCCATATCCTCGAAATCTGTGAACATCTTATTGTACTGAGAGAGAGATCCTTGCTCATAAGGAGAATTTCACATTCTCTGGTGTCCCACTGAGGAGGCAGTCGGCTTCTGAAATCACAGTGGAGGCAAGTAAGACTTGTTACAGACACTGGAATGAGTGCTAGCACTGGGATTGCAGCCAAACTTGGCCTGGAATCTAATGCAAACGTTGTATTTAAGTGTTTGTAGGGTCTGCTGAGCTCTGAAGCAGGTGAGATGTCCTTCAGTAAGTGCAAGCACAGCAAAATGCCTGGGGGTAAGGCCTCCCAAGTGCTGCAGATTATTAAAATGGGCAAATGTAACAGATCGGTAACGGAGTATGCTGCACTGCAGTATCCCACTTTCAAAGCCATTTCTAATGATGGTGTCGTCTGCCTTAGACAAGAAAGGTGCAGGATCCAAGACATCACCAGCGCCAGTACAGATGCTAATATTATAACAGTGCCTTATTTGTCAACACTTCAGTTGGAAGTGTATCTTTTACCATCACCAGAGAATGTACTTTCCCTGTCATTCAATAAGAAAATCTTCCTATCCAAGTTCTACAAGTGGTTCATTTGAGACCCATCGGTTGCTTTTACTATCCCAAGTGTTGGCTTGTCAGGATTAGCTTTAGTCCAGTTGTCATTATGAGAGTTGCCTACATATAAGCCCTGGTTTGAATCACGGACCCAGCTAATGGTGCAGCATCACCTTTAATCTTGGAATGTTCCCCTCCTTCCCCACCCCACAGTGTGCCCCGCCTGCTGCTGATTGGTGGAGGGGCCCCAACGTCCCTGCTGCTTGCTCCTGATGGCTGGGAGGCTAAAACCACAGTTTTAAATATGCCACGGTTTTTGCCTCCTGCCGCTTACTTCTGACCAGATGGAGGCAAAAATGGTGGTGTGTTTAAAACTGCGGTTTTTGCCTCCCAGCCATTAGAAGCGAGTGGCAACCAGGTAGGGGCATGGTGGGGGCTGCTAGTTGGGCCCACGATTTTAAACCAAGCCTTACCTATATATGTACCTTGATTCTGGGTAAGCTTTTTGAGAGGATTATCCTGGTACATGTCCACGAGGGGCCAGTGGGGGAGGTTATGCTTGGGGGCAACCGACATGGGTTCATTAGAGGCAGGTCCTGTCAGACCAACCTGGTGGCCTTCTATGACCAGGTCACAAAATCCTTAGAT